ACTTGTTAGCTGTGATATGGGCACATGGTGAAATCACTAAAAAAGATGTCTGACGGGTCAAGAGACGTGAGCAGTCGGGCCTAACTTACGATAGTTATGTAACGTGACCTTCATATTGTAAGTCTGAGCCGTCCTTAGATATTCTCCTGAAACAATATTGCTTTATGGGCTTTACAGATTTTTCCTCTGCAGAGGGAGGACTCATCTCGAGCTTTTGAGATAGCATGAAGAAGCAGAGATAGGTGGCCTTTCGCCTTGTTATGTGTTAAGTCCTTTTAAAAATGGAACACAAGATTCGAAAAGGAGACAGTGACATTATTCTTGCTGGAAAGTAAATGAGAATTGGAAGGTAGAGTGATATTTCAGTAGCTTGAATTAATCAGTGACTTGTAAAATGATTGATGAGGTTTTTGGGTCTCCAATCAGAGGAGCAGCTGAAAGCTGTGATCCTCTCCTGCTTAATGATTCTACCATTGCCCACTTTGTCTTCAGTTTATACTCTGGAAACCTGAGCTCCTTCTGTGCCTCTTTTGTTGGCCTCTAACCAGCTTCTTCCACGCTCAAAGCACAATCAAGGTCATTCACTGCATCCTCTAAAGACAAACTTGTCAAAGATAATGTTTTAACAATGGTAAATCGTAAAATCCCAATGTTCCTCCCAATGTTTCTTTGATGGAAAATATTTCTGACACTCTGGGCATCAAATACCTAATTATCATTAAAATCAAGTTCGTCAAGACCTGAGTCTCATTGTGCACCAACCAACTCAAAAATACAGCCAAGTCTGAACATTAAACCCCCTCAACTGTCTGTGTAAAGCCAATTAATTTTAACAAGTAAGATTGGATTATAAACGTTATGAATGGCATGTCTGGCACTTATCTAGGTTTGAAGAGCACTAATCTATGGTAGGATTTTAAAAAAGGTGTAAATTTAACACGATGTAATAGAACTAAAAAAGCTATGAAATTACAAAGTCCACGTTGGTGCAGTACGCCTGTGGAGCTGCTGGAGCTTACACCCCATCTGTAGTTCATCATCTGAATCAGTGACATATTTATAGTATAATTATCAATATTACTGTTATTATAGTATTATGGTGTGCCCTGCTTTGTGGCTTTTTGGCATGAAGGGTTCCTAGATGAGAAAAGGTTTGACAACTGTTTGATAGGTAAGGGGTGGCTGAAGAGGAGGAAAGGATAGAAAAGTGATCTGAATGTGTTGTTTTTGGACTTGAAATAGTTGATCTGCAGAGAGGGACAGCTGATTTATCTCCCCAGGAAGTTAAACTGCCTATAAAGTAGGCACGTTCCTGAGAAGGCACAATAAATCCAGCACACATCACAGATTTACAGAGAGAAGAAAATAAAAAGTGCCCAGCAGCTTTTCACCTGAAATAACTTATTGAGGCCTAGTGAGGAGGAGCCGACTTAAAGAGGAAAAGGAGAGAAAAAGATGAGACTCACTAATACTTTGGTGATCTTTGTGGGAATATTGCAACAATACAGAATTAAGTAAAGAAATATAACATGGCTGAGAAATGAGGAATATAGATTACTTGAATTGGCACCACCGCTTGCTGTCTCTGAAGCATAATAAGCCTAATATTACATTTCAAAACATGAATAATTTATTCTGACATTAGCAAAAGCTCTCTTTATTTCAGGTGAGGCGGAGAGCTTTCATTAAAAACAAATACTGTAGGAATGTTGCAATTAGGATACATGACCTTTTGTCATTAAAATTTCACATTGCTGACCTGGCTTTCTTCAAGTCTTTGGAACAGGACAGACCTTTTAAACTGTTGTGACCCTTTTTGTCCACACTTTGAAGGAGGTGGCTGACTTATGTGCTACTACTACGACTTTAACACGTAGAGCATCTTCATATCTCAGATCAGCTTACGTTTTCTGACTAACTTCACAAGCTGAAAGAATAATTTGCACAATATGACGCTGGTGGGAAGTTGTGGATGGAGGACAAAGAGCAAGAAGAGGAGATGACAAAAGTAGAATATAGAGAAGAGTGAGAGGAGTAAAAGCAGAGGGTGAAGAGAGGTAAAAGCCCTGAAGTTGGGACAATTTTCTGTGCGTGTGTGTGCCTGTGAGACGTGGCAGAGCGAGGCCTGGCCAACCGGCAGATCTGTTCCATATGTTTCCTGGAGAGGGAGAGAGAGGCAGCTCCCCTCCACCCCACCCACAGAACGAGTCTTCATTTAAAAAGACAGTCGAGAAGCAAACCATCCGCTGCACTGCGTCGTTGCACTATACTGCAGCTCGGTCTCCTTTTCTGTGGACTGTAGATATCAGTTTCAGGTAAAGGCCTGAACTGACAAACGGAGTTTGCAGGTGTTTGTTTTCTGGAAGTCTGCAGGGAGCTGGCTGCTGTTTGACAGGGGCCTCCCAGAGAGACTGAGAGGTCAAAGAAAAACACAGCCTATTACGTTTTCACATTTTTTTGTGTGTGTGTGTGTGTATATATATTTATTAATATTATATTTATTGCAATCAACTCTACATAGTGCTTTAGCATCTTTTTGCTTATTGGTTTGGTATTACAACCTGCAACGTTACTGTTTGGATCACTCTCAGCGTTCTTAACCACATTGTTTCCAGCAGGAGCAGGCAGCTGTTTTTAGAAAACAAGCTCTGATAAACCCATCGTACACTACCTGTCCAGCACGCACCAGACATCAAACAGACAAAGTTAGTGACTAGCTGGTGAAGAACGTGGAACATTAAGCAGTTGCATGATGTTTTCTCAGAAGTTGGTGGAGACCAAACCAGAGCTAAAAGGAGATTGAATACTGGAGTAAAGTAGTAAGTTGAGTAAGCCGCTTTCCACTTAAAAAGGTAATAATATATGTGACGACATTTAATTACAATAATCAAACCAAGATGATATAAAAGCATGTATGACATCTTGAGACCAGGCAGAGAGAGAGAAGAACTGATTCAAGCAAGTAATGGCTACTCCAATGGCACAACCCAAGCAAAATGTCAGCTGGGATCGACATCAGCCCTCCCCATGCCCCTCTTATAGATAAGCAGATACAGCTAATGGATAGAGAGAGAGAGAGAGAGAGAGAGAGATATGAAAATACTACTGTCCATTTATAAAAGTGCTGCTTTGGCTCTGTCTTTCATTATTCAACCAATAGCCTTATTTATGACCCCAAACATGAAGGCCACTCAAAATAGTAAGAAACCCAGTATTGGATCAGTAAAATTGCAGCATCCTGCAAATATCATCAAATGAAAAAGATCTGTAGTCTCAAGTATGTGAGTCCTGTGGACCATCTGTTCGTTAAACATTGGGCTACACTTAATTGTGATGGTGGATTAGTTTGAAATACTGGGGGAAGGAACAGTTTAAAAAGAAGTGAGCTGTTTAAGTGAGGAAGCCGCAGCTGCTTTCTGCAGTTTATGTAAATTCAATTTACCACACATAAACAAGGCAACACCTTTTTATACTGTGTCTTTCCAGTCATATGGAGAGCCTGTCATTCCTTGATGTAGGGGCAAAGTAAAAAAAAAATATGATTGAGATACAATTGAGCAAACTCAATCTGCAAAGGAAGGCAGTGTGATACAATTGAAAGCTCTGGAAGAACTCGCAAATGGACTTTTATTTGGGATTGTTTTTGTTATAAGCAACTTACTCACCAGAGAAAGTTCTCTTCCATTAAAGGAATAGTTTGATATTTTGGGAAATACGTTTATTAGCTTTCTTGCCCCCTTCCAGCACAAAATATCAGGCTATTCCCTTAAAGTCATTACAAACCATGTAAAATCAAACAAGGTGCAAGATGTCTCCCTGTCTTGTGTTGGAGTGCATTATGATTAGTTTTTTATGGTCATTATGTAATTCTCCTGTAATTTCCCGAGATACCAAATCTGTCTGGCTGAATTTTAAGGAAACGTGCAGAGAATGATGTACAAGACATCCACAATATTTCCATGATGAAATGGTGCTATTTTCTACATATGTCTGGCTACTAGAGATTTTAGAAGTATTGGTAGAGTCGACAGACTTGGCAGCAGTAGGAAAGCATAGAAAAACCATACAGTTTTTTGACAAAATGGTCCCCTTTATTGTCTCATTTACTGCAGAAACGATGGGTAGTTTCCCAGGAGTCCACAGTTTCTTAACACTATAGACTTGAAATCTGAACCAATCACTCCCTGGGTGTCTTCATTCTTCTGAATCAATCTCCAGACCTCCCCTGGAACCAAGAACACTACCTCTAACTCTTTAGTGTGCAGTGCCGTCTGCTGGTGAATAAAGCAATAGCTCAACTGGTCTGGAAACCAACACAGTTTCCAGTAACAACATTTAGCTCACTTCTTTGTGTCTAAACTGATCACTTATTTTTACTTAAAGACAAGACTCTGGCAGAAACATTTCTTAGAATTAGTGCTGAAACATAAATTAATTAGTTGATCAAAAGCAATCATCCTTGGCAATCATTTTGATAATCTGTTAATTGATTAATACATTTTTCAAGCAAAAATGCCAAAAATATGTTTGTTCCAGCTTCTCCGATGTGAGGATTTTCTGGTTTTCTATATCATTGTAAACTGAATATCTTCGGGTTTTTAACTGTGTGTCGGACAGTACACCTGCATTTGAAGATGTAACCTCGGGCTCTGAGAACCTTGATGGACATTTTATAGACTAGAAGACTAATGAATTAATCCATAAAATAATTTGTTGCAGCTCCTCTAAGTATGCCATCCACATATGACTTTTTGTTTTTCTCACAATTTTGCCTTTTTAAAATCAACTCAATAAAGTAATCTTTGGAAACTATGTAGATTTGATGATTTCTAATCTTCAGCAATCAACCTTTTTCTGCTAATATTACAACTAGTACTGTGCCCATTGATTTCTTTTCAGATTCTTGAGTTTTATATGTTAAGTCATGTTCATGTAGCCTGAAAGCCTAGATGACAAAAGGACAATAATAAATGACAATGACAAATAACAATGTCAAATGGTTACTTTTCTACTCAAACGCACTTTTATTTTGACAAAAGTAAAGACATGAGTGGGGGAGTGTTCCAGGTTTATTGAAAGACATACAAAATAAATATAGCACCATTTCAGAGGAGAAATCACTGGAGTAAACGGAAACATGCTCTTAGACATTTCATGTTGGGAATTACTACCTGTTTATTATTTCAATAATATCTGTGATTCACTTGATTACTGTAAAAACAAATTGACATTTTGGGGTTTACATCAAGGACCATGTATAATCCAGTCTAACATGTTGCTTTCAGCTTCTAAATGAAGACAATACAGACATGTATTGAGATAATATAAAACATCCACATAAAGACGGACATGACGCTTCAAAGTGACTTATTGCACCAAAAATGCCAGCATCATTCATTGACTGTACAGACTTCGGCTGGGAGGAAAATATGTTGGATGAAAGTGTTTTTTAGGTTGCTGTTGAGTTTCAGCTCTGGCCTATAGTGACTCTTCTCTGATAATTTTGTTTCTACTTCAAGACGTGTGTATATATATATGTAAGAAAATGTCTATTTTGTTGTCTAGAAGTGTTACAAAGGTACTGTAAACTGTATTCTACTAAACTGCATCTCATTAAAAGTTGTCTTATTTTTAAACTAGAAAGAAAGGAACTAAAAAAGTTCTCTTTTGTTAAAAAGGCATCAGGATGTGAAACTACTCAACTTTACTTATTGAGTTGATAAAAGGTGACCAGAAGGAGGCGCTTTATTTCTGGGAAAGTTTACACAGCAAACGTTGAGGCACAAAAAGGTAACTGTAACCTTACAGAATGTCCTCACAAAGGTAGGCAGGGCTCTTATGTTGAATTTCATTATAATCACTTTAGCTGCTGAAAACTTTTTCTTAGTGTTGTAGCTTATGATTTAATGTTAATTTTCAGCACCAACATCCAGACTGGAGTAGTTTATTTTTTTGTTTTTCGCCCTGGCTGAGAACTTTTATGTGTAAATTGTACAACATATACTACAGTTTCTAATATACATCAATATAATGAAATTTCTCTAATTTCCCGAACAGCTAACACTAACACAGGAATGCAGTTTCATCTTGTTTTATCTATGAGAATTATTTGCAGCTCCTTCCTTATACTGTAACTTGGATATTGGCAGTTCTCCATTTCTGTGCTGTCTGGAAACATTTTCACTCCCATCTTCTACTTTCTGAAGTTTCCAAGCTGAACGCCCCTCCGTCCAGTCACACAGCGAAAGGTGGCCGGCTGGACATCCCAGTATTTAAGAGGATTGGCAAACAGACTGATGCCTGTATACAGGTTCTTCTTGTCACTGGGCCTGATGGGACAGAAGTCGTTGACTCCCACACTGCTGATTTTGTTGCCATGGAGGAAAATCACCTAAACAGACAAAAAGGATTTGTTGTCTAATCAGTTATTTTTCACCCTTAACCCCAACCATGATTGGGAGTTTTGTTCTAATGCTCCTTTGGAGCAATTAAGCAGCAATTCCTTTTGATCACCGATGAACTTGGAGTTCAAGGTTGGACTATTGAATTTTAACAACTAACAAATTTAATGTCCCCCTTCATTCCTAATGTGACAGTAGCATAGCATGAGTTGTACATCAAGGATTGAAAGAAGACTTTGTTCCACTTCTACACTACTTTATGAATAAAAAGTTTAGGTAGAGCTTAGGTTGAGAGTAAGATGGGACATAAGGTTGATTAGTGAAGTGTGATGCAGCTTCTGTATCTGACTTGTGGTAAAAATGGAGCTGAGCCTTAAAGCGATTTTGTCAATTTAGCAGTCAATTTATATTCCAACCTTCATCTACATACAGTGATAAAATTTGGGTAGCGGCCAAAATAATTACATGATAGATAAAAGAAGCCAAAATTAGTTTTCTTTGCGGGGTGTCTGGGCTCAGTCTTTGAGACCAGATAAAGGGCTCAGACATCTGGAAGGAGTTTGGAGTAAAACACCTGCTCCCCCCTGGATGCCTCCTGAGCTGAGGGACATTGCCAGGGAGAAGGCCGTCTGGGCAATGCCTCAATTATCCCTCTGTAATGGAAGTATAGAGATTAAGCTAGAATTTTAAAAGTTGCAGTGGCAGAGAAGTCCAGGTCATGTTTAGCCTAGCTTCGCACAAAGACAAAAATTCCACCACCACCTTTTTAGAAATGTAAAAAGGAGAAATTATTGTCTTAGCAGAAGTTAACGTTAGAGCGCAGTAGCCTACTGTGCAAATGTTTGTGCAAAAGGCAGGCATGGAAAACATGCTGTAATATAAGAATGCTTTGAAATAGACAAGTTAATAGATTATATTTATCAATTAACAAAATGCAAAGTGAGTGAACAAAAGAAAAATCTAAATCAAATAAAAAATTTGGTGTGACTGACCACCCTCTGCATTCTAAACATGACACTTGGACTAAATTAGAGATTTTGTAGGCATGTTGTCAGGTGTATGATTCAACATTTAACAAAAACAAAAGCTTTTGTACAGTATTTTATTTGTCAACTAAACCTAGCTGACAGTTTTGTGAAATGCAATTCTACTGATTCTGATTAAAGTGCCAGATTTATCACAGTGTCTGTACCTCACCTGGAGGTAGCGCAGGGAGCTGAGGCCCGGTGGGACCTTTTTCAGACGGTTGTTATCCAGGTGGACCTCACGGATGTTCGGTATGCTGGCAAAGCTGCCGTTTTCTACAAACTTGATCTGGTTAAAACCTAGTCCTAGTCTGTAAAAATTGCAAAAGATAGTTGACAGGTATCACCACTTGTGAGTGAAAATCAACAGAATCTGCAGAAATTAAGAAGTGAGAAACGACATATTTACACATCAGATTAACAAACATACCTATATTTAAACTTCCCATTCTGACTTACGCATAAACAGAACCTTTTGTTTAAAGCTAGCTGGCAGCTTTAGGGACACAAATAATAACAGTGATGTACAACATGATTTGTTTTTTTTTTATTCTACATTTGAGTGTTGAATTTCATTTGTTATTAATTTCAGGTAAAAATGTTTTTAATGTTTCCCTGCAAAACTTCATCTTACAGTGAGGAAGAAAAACACTCAAATTGGAGTTTTAAACAGTAGTCAATCAATATTGAGCACAGAATCTTGGCTTATTGGAAAAAGTTTCTAGGATAAAATCATGTGGCCAGTTTTTACCTCTGCAGGTTTTTATATCTGATGAAATCTTCTATTTCCACCTTAGAGATCTTGTTGTAGTCCAGGCTCAGGTCTGTCATGGAGGATGGGAGGTCTGAGAGATAGAAAACACACAAACATAACCAATTTAAGGGTAGATTAAGCATTACTTGCTTTTAACAATGAAATTAATTTGAAAACAACCCCTTTAAAATCTAAGCATCACATTACCAGACATTAGCGGTATATATGCCTCATTTAATTGTACAATTGAGGACCAGTGTAGTAGGTGGGCAACTGAAGGAGAAAGAAAAGTTTACCGTTCATTTGTTTAAATCAGCATTACGTGAGGTGAGTGATCTACCTTTCGGTACAGCAGTTAGCTTGGCCTCTGCTAAGCCGACATACAGGGTCGACAAGCCGTTAAAAGCTCCAAGCTCAATCCCACTGTTGGCCAGAGGGTTGGCGCCCAGCTCTGTTTGGACAAGCACAAAACATCTGGTTTAATTATTGATGATTAATCAAATCTCCTGATTGCGGTAGAGAACATAAATCAAGTGAATTACAATAATTGGAAAGTGATTACATTTTTATCCGTTGAGATCAGGTAAACTTGGTTTATGCTACTAGGCTCTATAAACACAATTCATCAAGAAATCATGTTGAAAAAGCTTTGACAAAAGTCATCTGAATGATCTAGTACATGCTTGATTTGAAAAATAAGATCTTAAATTATGTCTGTTATTATCAATAACATTCTGTACGTGCTTTCTGGGTACAAGTCCTAGTCCAAAAGTGCTGTTGGGTCTTTGTTTTCCATCAGTCACTAGAAGTGATTTAATGTTAATGAGTGGAAATCTGTTGCATGTTAAGTAATTATTAATTAAAAATTTATTTTAATCTCTCAAATGAACAGAATTTACTTTAGCAAGGCCACCTAAACTAACTAGTAAAACCATTTAAGTCTGTGATATACTCCAAATCACATGTGGATGTGGACAGCAGGGCAGACATGCAGACAGTTCTGTACATACTTTACATACTGCATGTATGCAGATATGTTCCCATGCAAAAGTCTGTCCATCCAAAGCCTGATGCCCAGAAACGCCCAGCAAAATAATAAGAAGATACAGGCAGAGGGCAGGGTCCACACACCTCTAGTGGTTTTTAAGGGATGATTGAGTGTGATTATTTTTGTACAAGTCTATAGTATAGGAAAATCCTACTTATTCTGCCTTTATTTAAACTACACTTTAAACAGTACAAAGTGTCTGACTTTGACACGGGAGACTGAGGTTTGTATCCATTCTCACACAACTTTGAATAATGTTTCTTTTAGCCATTTCCATAATCTTTTATTAGCCATTATCAAGTAGTTTGGCTTGCCTGAACTTAACCAAATCTTAACCATAGAGGTCACAGATCAGAAAACATTCATACAGGATATCATATAGGTTGTATTGATGTTGTTTTGTTGAATAAAAACCTGCAGACCTCTTTTTAACTAACGACTGGACATTTCTGGTCTTTGAGAACCCTGATTATTTCTAATCTGATACAGGAAGCCGAAACCAGGTCTTACCCAGGACATGGAGTTTCCTGAGGCCTTTAAATGCATCCTTCTGGATTCTGTTTATCTTGTTTTCATGGAAGCGGAGCTCGATGACATTGGGAGGCAGGTTTGCAGGGATCTCCGTCAGCAGGTTGTAGGAGAGGTACAGCAGTCTGAGGCGTTCCATGTTTCTGAATGCCTTGGGGTGAATCTTGGAGATCTTGTTGTTGATCAGAAACAGGCCCTTTTGTGGGGGGAAAGGATTCAGGATACAACTTAGATTAAGACTTACTTTTACAGCATTTCTTACAGCAGGTCTAAAAATTTAAAATTTTCATGTCCTAGTTGTACACACTGTGCCCCAGAGTTTGTGCATGTGAGGGAATCCAATTCAAGTAAGATAGACAAGAGTTAATATTTAGTTGAGTGTTTGTGTGTCACACTACGGTTTCCAAGGTCAAGAATGAACTCACTCATGATCAACATTCAACGTGTGTATAGCAAGATAGAGACGGCGAGATAGTTTTGTTTTGATGTTTCCAACAAAAATACCTTGTCATTAATGATAAAAGTTTAAATGTTTGTGACAGCCAACATCTGCTGTCTATCTACTATCTACTGAATAGCTGGAAAATGAGACTAGAATCATAACGATTTGATTAAATTCGATGAACAGAATCATAATTTATCAAATAAAACTCAACCCTATCCAGGTTCAAGTTGGATGTAATGTTTAACACTTGATGACAAGTCACTCTATTAGCACAAAGCTGTGGCTGCAGATTGTTCTCACTGTTTGCTTTGATGTAGTACAGTATAATTCAAGCCTTGATGTGGTTTATTCCCAGCTGGGAAAACATCAGCTAGATCAAACACAGACCCAATGTCCCCTACTACTCAACTGGGAGTTTCATACAGAGGGACTTTCTCCTCGTAAGGCTGCATTTGAACATTAGTGAGCTGTTTCTTCTTATCTGGTCACTTTAAAAGCTACAAGATGGTGTTGTCATTCACACTTATCTTGAGTCTGTTTGAGACTCATTTAAAGTTCTGAACCAAGTCTAGGCATTTTGTTACTATAGTAGAAAGTCACTGCTTCTGATATCTAGATTTGAAAGTATTAACACTTAGAAGTAGAACAAAGGTGGGTGTGAACATGCTGCATCAGATTTTTCATTTATACCGTGAAATATGTCAGTATATACTCAATGGATTGCCACCACCGCATCAGCTGTACTTTCTGTTAATGCTAGTTAGCAAATGTTAGCCAAACATGGAGAAAATGTTAAACATAACCTGGTAAATGTCACATGTTGACATCATCTTTGTGAGCTTGCCCTCATTTAGCTCTACATAGGAGATGTTTCAGCCACGTTTCTCAGTCGTCAAGCCATTACGTGGCCTGTTTCATCCCTCTTTATGCTTATAAATTCATCTGATTTCTTAAGTTTTACCCGCATAACTACAGTGATTGTGTGTTGGGCTATGAGCACCGCCAAAGAACACTTAGGTCTGTGTCTGAACACATCCTGTTTAGATGCAAAGGACTGAAGATGCTGCTGCTGTAACATGCTGCCATTCCTATGCAGGCTGGGTAGACATGGTGATATACTTGTGTGTGCAACAAAATCAAATGTATTTCACTTGCATCTAAGCATTTGTATCCAGGTTCTATCGTCTGCTAGCCACTTCTTGTTACATGCCCACCATTTTCTTTGGGGTATGAATTGGTCGAATTCTGAGTCTAGATCCAGCAGAAAGGAACTGAACAGTGCAGATGTGTGGACACCATTTGTTCAACTCAGCAGGTAGTTTTATAAGAGATTGGCATTCCTAATCATCCCATAGATTAGATTGTGAGTACACGTTACAGTGCCATCAGCATTACTCAGCACTCTGGGTTTAAATACAACACTCTGCAACTGGATATTGGACTTCCTCACAAACAGACTCTAGTCACTTTGGATTGGTGGACACACCTCCTCCACTCTAGTTCTCTACACTGAAGCTGTGTGCTGAGCCCCTTCAAGCTGTACACCCACGACTGCATCCCCCGAGAGAACGCTGTTGTGAAGTTTGCAAATGACACTACCATCATCAGCTGGATTTCAAACAACGATGAGACTTCATATCGGGAGGAAATTGATAGTCTTGTAGATTTGTGCTCAGAGAACAACCTACTGCTCAGCGTCAGCAAAACCAAGGAGCTGATTGTTGATTTCTGGAAAAAGGAGATAAAGACACACACTCCTGTCTACATTAGTGGAGCAGAGATGGAGCAGATGAACAGTTTCAGGTTCCTGGGAATCAGCATTATGGAGAACCTGATATTGTCATCTCACATCTCCACGCTCAAGAATTAGCTCAGAATTTCTTGAGGAAGCTTAAGGCCAAATTCCTGTGCCAAGTTCTTGTCAGTTTTTTTTTGTCAGAGGAGCAATAGAAACCATCCTGACTGGAAACGTCACAAACTGGCATTGGATGTGCACGGCCCGGGACTGGAGGGCTCTGAAGCGGATGATTAAAACTGTTCAGAAGATCATTGGTACCCATCTCCCGAGCATCAGTGATATCGGTGAGGTGAGGTGCCTACGCAGAGCCCAAAGGATACTAAAGGACAGTACCCGCCCAGCCACAGCCTGTTCACCCTGCTGCCTTCTGGGAAGTGAGATAGAAGTTTCAGCTGCCGCACCACCTGACTGCAGAGCAGCTTTTCCCTCCAAGCTATCAGACTCTTAAACTCTAATTCATCCTCAGCACTGCTCCATTGATGATAGTTAATTTCTTGGAAATAAGGGAGTTACAAACTCAATTTCACTATATAACCTGTTGTGACAAAATAAATCTACCTACCTACTCAAACTTGAAATTGGAGATATGACTAGAAATTTGCTCTTATAGTGTTTTGTTACGATGGATTAATGTTATTTTTACATCTTTAACTTCAAACATGTCTGACGTTTAGTTCTAAACTAGTTCTGAAGGTTCCTCTTACATAAAGCTTGTTGAGGCCTTTAAAGTCGTCCTCCTTGATCTCAGTGATATCGTTGTTTTGGAGGTCTAGTATCACAATGTCTTCAGGAATCTTCTCAGGAACAGCAATCTGACCTGTTGGTAAGAACACAAATGCCTGATTTAAAAATTAGAGTTGGACCAAAAAGTGATGAAAATCTGAGCTCATGCAACACAGATGTACAGGTGATGAAGTCATTGTGATCTTTCTGACTCAAACTCTGCCATCTTAGGTCTCAGTATCAGTGGTTCTCTGATTCAAGGGAACATGCGTGATCATACATGACAAATCAGAAACACAAGCCACTGTTGTTGTTGTGCACCACAGCTTAAGAAAATCTGGTTAAAAAACTCTGGTAGTGACTTGACTGATGTATTCACTCTACAGATGTGTCAATGACACCCAGGCATAGCCTTAGGTGGTAATGTCGTAGTAAAGACAGTTTCATGAGACAGTTTCATGACACTGAAGTAAGCCATAGAGGGTGAGCCCTGCTTTGCTGTAAGTGCAACAAGCAGGTGTGAAAAACCTCCACAATCCAGAAGAAAGCTCACATTCTACATGATACAAGATGCATCATACTATGCTATTACTTTTCTAACATTCACATTGTCTCTCTCTGATATAAAACAGTTCAGTAGTCAGGTAGTTGAGTATGCGATAATTTGCATGGTAGGGAAGTCTAAAAGTATTGAGAGACAGACTTCACTGGATTTGGAGACGGGAAGAAAAATGTAGAATAACTTAATAATAATTTAATGGTGAGCTACTCATTTATAATTACATAAGAGTGAGCCTTTATCCATATCCATGAGTCTAGCTCAGAGCTTTCATGTGGATCCAGATATGTTCACACGGTGTGTGTTCTTACCCTGGTCGGAGCACTGCACCACTCTGGGCGAGCAATGGCAACCAGCTGGACAGTTCTCGTCTTCGTCATAATCGTCATCTTCATCATCATCGTCGTCGTCATCATCTGAGTCAGCCATCATGATGTCATAGTTTTTCATGAAGTCCATCACGTTTATTGGCTGGTAGGGTTTGGCATTGCCTAGCGCCAGCAGGCAAAGCAGGATGAAGACTCTCATTGTTTTATTGGAGAGGTGGTCAGTGAAACAGCAACCAGGGAGATCTGTAGGAAAAGGCAGAGGTTAACTGTGATGTCATGGCACTTTACCTCGGTTTACACTGTTCACATTAATGACCCACTGTGATGGTATTCAGAAGTAAACATTGTGCTCATGTGTTCATTTTCATTAGCTGTGATGCACTAGAAATGTGGAAGTTGGTCACCTTTGGTGTGTAGTCTCTCAGTTGTTTAATGTATTGATTTTTAAAGCCATCATAAGAAAGACCAACTCCTAAAGAAAATGTTTGTATTCTTACCTTAACTTTATCTTACTTTTTTTTTGTACGGTGGGCTCGTACGAGTGTGCCACGTTAGATTCAGCAAATGCTCCTAACTTGAGATAACTGTGTAAATGACCCGCGTAAACATGATGAATGCTTTCTGTGCGTAAATGAGCGCACGCTAATGAGAATTGTAAATTAGTATAATCTCCACCCTAATAATACCATATAAGGTCACGTGTCTTGCCTCATATATGAGGAAGTGTTCATTCATGAAAATGAGAAAAGTAAAACGAACGGAAGTCCTTCTTTCAGGGATCCATAAAGGAAAGTCTTTGATTTTTAACATCGTCATCAGTAGAATTAAGGGAACAGGGTAGGGTCAGTGTGTCTGTCTGCATAGTTACAGCTCTAACTGGTAAATGGTCTTTGCGACTACTCAAAACGCTTTACAATACGTCACATTCACCCACTGTTGGCGGAGGCTAAGGTGCAAACTACACATCAGAATGTAAATAACATCCATACACATTCATACGGTGGCACTGCCACAGGAAGCAAATTGGAGTTCAGTGTCTTACACAAGGACACTTCGACATACAGACTGGGGCACCGAACCAGGGCTCGAACGCCGGGACGACCGCACTATCCCCTAAGCCACAGCCTCCCCAGTAACTAACAAGTTTCACATTTGCAGAATCACAGCCTGTGGTAGTCCAAACCACAACAACCATTCCTCTGTCTCTGCAAATATCTCAGCGCACAGCGCACATCGCTGTCTTCCAAATGCCAGACACACTAAGGCATCCAAAAGATTACACTTCCAACTGACCATATTATAGGCGAAGACAAATTAACCTTCAAATGGTACAGCAGACTAATTACACATGACTCCTACAACATATCTGGACCCCTCGTAAATTCTGTCCGTACCTAAGATAAAATTCAAAATAGGAGAAAATTGATGAATGCGGCAAGTTTTCCTGAATCACTTGTACAAGCCACTCAAGAACAAATCTGTTCATACAATTGGTTCTTGCATGAGGCCCAATGTTTGAAAAGAGAACAAAGTTTTATAGCATATATTTTCTTCTGTTTTAAGCATGTCAATGCTGACCAAATAGTTTTGAGAGGATTTCAAAAGTACAAAATTTTAAACAATACAACAGGATCAAACCCAACCTGATTTACTTCTACTGGCCTCTGAAAAACACAGATAAATTTAATTAAATTTTATGTTTTCCACATGTGGACTCATGTGAAGACATGTATACAAACATGTGGAGCACATGGGTTTCACATGTAATCACATAGGTTTCGTGGTGAATTTACATCGACTTCCAAAACCATGTTTTCCACGTGCAAAGTCTATATTTAACATGTGCAAAACATGTTTTCCACATATTTCATGTGTGATTTTAACATGTGCAAAACCACGACTCAACTCTTTCTTGTACACAGAAGCTAATTGCAGTGATTATGGGGCATAGTTATTATTGATGAATTATTATGTAATCAGTACTTAATGTTGTAGTTGGTTGATGTGGAGCTGATAATAATTGCTTCTTATACTTTTGAGTAGTTTAATCTAGAATGCATTATATTTTATAGACTGATCACATGTAAAATCTTAATCTGAAAACTGTATCTGCCAAATGTAGTGCAAAAAAAAAAGTACATTTCCCCTTTGAAAGGTGGTCAAGTAGCAGTATGAAGTAGCATGAAATGGAAATACTCAAGTAAAGTACAAGTACCTCAAAATTTTAAGTACGGTACTTGAATAAATGTCGCTTGTTGCATTTGTTGCAACTGTAATGAACTGTTATGCTCAATGGTGTAGTGGTGTTAATGACCCACCAACAGTTTTTAGTACTCCAGTTGAGTTTCAGTTTTACAGCACCAAATTTAGGGATGTATTGCTAAAACAGTGCATGGTGAAAGGGCATGCAGAGTTCCTGGAGTGATCAGTTTCAGTAAGTGCTCTTTTTTTCTATCAGTGTTTCCATGAAGCTCTGAAAACCTCAACTGGATATGAATTCTTGCAGCCAACATAAATATTTCTCCAGCGATCACCTATTCCACATTTGTGGTGATTCACAAAAAGATTTATATATCTTTCTCTATTACACATTCACACACCCAGCAGAGAGGGGCTGAGATAGTCTGGTTGCGTGCTTCTGTTAATCTTGATGGATTCTGAGCCCTTCAGTTAAGCAGTAAGTCCACCCACAAGTATGTGGTGGTGGTCGAGCATCCTGCTGCGACAGCAAAAAATGCTCAGCAACGACCCTTCCTCTGCACCCACTCTTTCTTTTGTTCCACATGTGCACATTAAGCACAAAAGAAGCGTTTTTCTTGATTTGTGTTCTGTAACTTCGTGGGGGATTGCTTTAGCAACTTGGCAGTAAGTGAATCCCGACAGACTGGGGCAGGTAAAGTGCTTTTGTTCACTTCTTAAATCTACTCCGTTCTCTAGAGGTTTGCATTTCATAAAACATCCAAACCAGAGCGACATCACCAGACTTCATCCCCCTCTGATCCCTGCTGTTCCCATCAGGACGTGCATACATATGTCACTACCACTTATGGATGCAACTACTCATTATTTTCATGATCAAATAATCTGTCAAATTTTTTTATGATTATTTGTTAAATTGGTAATTGTTAAAACAATAAAATGTCAGGGGAAAAAATCCCATCCCAGTTAAACAGAGCTCAGGGCGACATGTCTTGTTTACAGTCCAAAAACCTGAAGATATTCAGTTTCAATTCAATTTTCAATTCAATTCAATTAGTTTCAAAAGTTTCAAAAGTTTGCAGTGATGGAAACCACCGGGAAAAAAAACAGTAAATCATCACAAAGGGGAAGTTAAAACTTAAGACTATTTAGCATGTCAAAGGATTTTGCTTTCAAAATAGTCTTCATTGATTCTTATACTATTATCAAAATTATTACTTGATAATTTTCTGTTAAGCGACTAATTGATTAATGTACCAGCACTCATTCTAGTGTAAGACCTGTCTGCTCTGTACTTGAAGTAATTTGGGGTATTTGGGTGGTTTCCCTCATGTGTTTGTATTTACGATTTGTAATGACTGTACTCTATGGAAAATTACTTTACATTTTTGTCAAATGAGATCAACTGAACTCCAGGCAAGTAACACAAGATGGACCACAGCATTCAATATAAAACCCAACCATTGAATATCATCTTCCCTTCAGATTTTGTCCATTATATAGTTCTCTTAAAACGTGACCCAGTGATTTATGAACATTCCTGTAAATTGATCTTGTTGTGCTCTAAAATCTGCATGCAAATCTAACTCACTTAAAATAATTGCATTTTAAATATTCTCCCTTAAAATACATCAGTTTTTCCCATAATACAGACCTACATCAGCTGGTGAAAATTTGCAGCTCAGTCCCGTGGCTCCACTGAAACACCTCCACCACCTTTAAGGTATTCAGCAGAAGTCTTGTAAAACTGACTTAAACACCTCAGAGATGCTGCATTCTCAATACAATAAAACATGCCAGATCGACTAGTCAAAAACAAGTTAAAAGATTAGATAAATCCAGGGTGTGTCCTACCTCAACTGTCAGGTGTGTTTCTAGTCCTGGTTTAAACCCCACTCAGTGAGCAGAGCAGCAGCAGGGTCCAGCTGGAAGGCTGAGATTTGGATCCTCAGTCAATACATTCCCAGTGAATGGAGAATAGCATCACCCTTTCTCTGGGAAAAAAAAATAGCATCCAGAACACCCCCACCGATGGAAAACCTCTTCTGTAGGGTGAGAGGTTCAGTTTCAGTTAAGAGCTCTTGACTCTCTGTGATCACACCATCTGGACGTCTCAGGGACTAGATTTTAAAAAGGCATTGTTAGGATTTTAGTCATGTGCTTTTCATCAGGAGCTTTGAAGCGATGCCAGGATAGTTGGCTTTAGACTCCTGAATGCAAAGTCTTTATTTAAAACCTACTGGTAGATCTGTCACCTCCCCTCTCTTCATGGCCGGGTGCCATATTAAATATTTTACATCAACATGAATGGTTCCTATACTTAGGCCTATTGACACTGGGTTAAACAAGCGTAGTGGGATGATAGAGTCGCTGTAGCTGTTTGGGTTTACTCAGTCAAACATCAACAGATTGGATGCCAGGGATTTTTAGGATAATGCCATCTGTCACGTTATTTGAGGGATTACTTCATCTGGCTGCTTCATATTAACTGACTTCCCCAAACAAAGAGGTGCCATGTTAACCTCCAGGACATTTACATGATGATGATGATGAACCAGCAATTATTGAGCCCCTTGACAACGTTAGCGTGCATCATTCTGTGCTTGTGCACTGTTATCCATTACAAGATAGGCTGCAGAATTCACTAATAAATTCTGACATTGATGAGAAAATGCATCACGTGATTGATAATTAAGGCTCCAGCATACAAATATGTATTTAAAACTATCACTGAGGCAGACTGTGAGAGAGCTGAGAACACTTTTCTTCTTTGGTGTTTTTATTTTCCAATTCTGGAATTCTCTGTTCTTCAGCAGTGACGGTTCTCCCTTTTGTAGACCAGCCAAATACAGTATCACTGTACAGGGGAGCTTTATGTAATGCTCTTGTCATATCTGAATAAAGGAACTATTATGTAACAGACACCTATGTGACACCTATATGTCTAAAGACATTACTTACAGATAGATGAAGCCAACTAAGGGGTCTTCTGTCTTGTTT